ATTTTTGATATAATAGCAATGGTCCATCTCACATCGTGTGAAACCATTTTTATGCATGAATCCATCAAATTTCTTGAACCATTGTCGGGTATCTTGTTTCAAACCATACAAACTCTTCCTCAACTTACACACAAGGTTTTCTTTACCAAAAACTTGAAAACCTTCAGGTTGCTGCATGTAGATGTCTTCTTCAAGGTCACCATGCAAGAAAACAGTTTTAACATCTAGCTGCTCCAAATGCAAATTTTCTGCAGCTACGATACTTAGCACCAACCTGATAGTAGTTAATTTGACTACAGGAGAGAAGATCTTAGTGTAGTCAATTCTTTCCTTCTGCTGAAAGCCTTTTACTATTAATCGTGATTTGTATCTCTTCTTACCATATGCTCTTCCTTGACTCTGCACACCCACTTGTTCTGCAATGCCTTCTTTCCTTTTGGTAACTCCGTAAGTATCCATGTTTTATTCTTTTGAAGAGAATTCATCTCTTCTTTCATGGCCAGCTTCAACTTATCGAGTCTATCACCTGCATTGCTTCAACAAAATGCTCTGGTTCTCCAGCATCAGTTAGAAGTAAATACTGAAGAGAGAGAGTTAACCTATCTGGAGCATTTATGACTCTTTTAGATCTCCTCAATGTAGGTTCATGAGTAACAAAATCCGAATTTGATTCAGGTCCTGATTCCAGATTTGGTTCTGCATTTGATTCTATCTCTAGTTCCGGTTCTGGTTATGATCCAGGTTCGGCTTCTAGTTCTTCTTCAAATTCGGCTTCTGGTACTTCATCTTCAATTTCAGAATTAGTTGTAATCCCTCTAGCCACTACATTTTCTAAGATTTCTTCTAACTCAACTGTTTCAGACATTGTCTGTTTGCTGGTGTTGGTTGGTTCTATTTCAAGCTTGTCCTTATAAATCACATTTTCATTAAATGTGACATTCCTTTGTCTTAGGATCTTTCTATTCTGATCATCCCAAAATCGATAACGAAAATTAACATCATCATACCCAATAAAGAAACATTTCTTTGCTTTAGGATCAAGCTTATCTCTGTCATTAGAGTTTACATGCACATAAGCAACACAACCAAAAAATTTCAGATGTGAGAGAGTTACATCCTTTCCTGTCCATACCTCCTCAAGAATTTCAAAATTCAGCGGTACAGAGGGTCCTCTATTTATGAGGTAAGCTGACGTGTTAACAGCCTCAGCCCAAAAATACTTCGGCAATCCAGAATATATTCTCATACTTCTGGCTCGTTCATTCATAGTTCTGTTCATCCTCTCAGCAATACCATTTTGTTTTCGGTGTTTCAGGAACTGTCTTGATCATTCTAATCCCATTCGCCGAGCAAAATGCTTTGAACTCTTGGCTATCATACTCTCCTCCATTGTTAGATTTTAGACATTTTAACTTTAGACTTGTCTGATTTTCAACTTCAGTTTTCCATCTTTTAAAGGTAACAAACACATCAGATTTATTTTTCAAAAAATAAACCCATACCTTTCTTGTGAAATCATCAATGAAGGTGACATAATAGCGTGAGCCTCCTAGAGAAGCTACAGGAGCTGGTCCCCACACATCTGTATGCACTAGTTCCAGCTTCTCTTTCTTTGGCGTCCTTCCCACCTTTGAGAAACTAACTCTCTTTTGTTTCCCGTAAATACAATCTTCGCACAAACCTAATTCTATATGTTTTAGGTTTGGCAACTTTTCTTTGGATGCCAAAAGAATCATTCCCTTCTCACTCATATGCCCGAGCCTCCGGTGCCACAATGTTGTATCACGGTCATGATCAACTGTTGCTACAGTATCTCATTGTATTGCATTTGCATAAAGTGTTTCCCTTTTGAAGCCTCGTGCCACAACCAAATTCTCTTTGGTTATCTTCCACGATCCATTGCCGAATGTTGTTGTATATCCTTCACCATCAATCTGACCCATAGATATCAGATTTTTCTTGAGGCCAGGAACATGTCGTACATTTTGTAATTTCCATAGCGTGCCTTGTGAAGTCTTTATATGAACTTCACCTTTTCCGGCAATGTCGAGAGGTTCGCCGTCTGCTAGATAAACTTTCCCAATTTTCCAGCAATATAATTATGCAATAATTCTTTGCATGATGTAGAGTGAAAGGATGCACCTGATTCCAGAATCCAAGATTTGACTGGACTGTCTGCACAACAAGTTAGTGCATCACCGACTTGTTCAACAATTACATTTGCTGAATTTTCTTCCTTCTTCTTCTTTGATTCTCTACACTGGCTACTGTAGTGACCCTTTTTATTGCAATTCCAACAAGTAATGTCCTTGCGATTTTGGATTATCCTCTTCTCCTTGACTTTGATCTGCCACGACCATAACTTTGTCCTCTTTGGTTGAGTCTCCCCCTGCTTTCGGTACTAAAAGCAGATCCTAGGGAATCACTTGATTCTCTTCGGCGAATATCTTCGCTTAGAACCAAGTCTCTAATATCATTCAATTTGAGTTTGGTATTTTCTCATGAACTGCTAACTGCAGTTACTGTTGCAGACCAACTTTCCGGTAGAGATGATAGTAGAATCAACACCCTGATTTTGTCATCAATTGTTATATTAACAGAACTCAACTGAGTTAATATTATATTAAACTCATTGATATGTTCTGTGACCGATCCACCTTCTGTCATCTTTAAGTTGAACAATCGACGTATCAAATAGACTTTATTTGAAGCAGATGGCTTCTCGTACATATTTGATAACGCCTTCATCAGGCCAACAGTGGTCTTCTCGTTAATGATGTTAAACACCATATTTCGTGTTAGCGTCAAACGAATCACACCAAGAGCTTGGTGATCTAATAGATCCTAATCCGCTTTGGCCATAGTCCCCGATTTCACCTCGGTCAGAGGTAAGTGTAATTTTTTCTGGTACAAATAATCATCTATTTGCATTTTCCAGAATCCAAAATCTTTGCCATTGAACTTGTCAATCTTAACCTTTCCTTCTTCCGATGCCATTTTTCACAAAAAATTTATGTGAATAGTGCATGTGAATAGTACAATGATCAATAGTGTCGCACTATTCTTGGGAATAGTACATGCACCAATATTATACTTTTCTACCAGAATTACACTGCATGTGCACTAATACCAGTTGTTAGGAAGTGTGTCAAGATAATAGAAGGAAAAGAATATTTAAGAGAGAAAAGCAATAAATTGCACAAGACAAGGCAAGATTTATTCGGCAATTTTTGCCTACTCCACAGCCACACAAAGAATAGCTCTTTATTAATTTAAGAGAGAAAGAAGAAGTTTTGGGATGATCTACATATGAAAATGTAGACCACTATTTATTGGCATTTGAATGCCCTGCCGAGGTAAGCGCTTACATCATAAGTATGCTGATGTAAGCGCATACATCATAAGAATGTCGAGGTAAGCGCTTACATCACAAGAATGTCGATGTAAGCGCTTACATCATATTTTCATCTCTTTTTGATTTTTCTTTATTTTGTTTTGTCTACTTTCACATACAACAATAGGTTTGGTCCTATCAACAACCTCTTGCAGAATGTAGTCTAAGATTGTGTACAATAGACCTTTGTGGTTCGGCCTTTTCCCAAACTCCACACATAGCGGGAGCTTAGTGTACCGGGTTGCCCTTTATAATATATATATACACTTAATATAATTTAGCTATCTACTTAATATAATTAATTTTTCAGTAAAAATCAATTAACAATACCCTTGAACAAAGATGACTCTATCAATAACAATCATGTAGGGTCTACAGTACAGCCTATATTATAGACATTTCATGAGATTTCATGTTTCATCTTAAAGATAAAACATGTCAAAGTTGCCACTTGGACAAAATTGATGTCAATTTATTACAACCATGACACCAAATTCTTGACAAAGGTGAAGTGTATTGCTTTTCTCCTAGGGTTTACACACCGGCCCCTACGTACACTCCTAAAGCTTACCCTATATTTATTTTTAGAATTTAAAATTGAAAAACTTACACAAATGTCCCAAATAAATCTCAACTTATCAACTTCTAACCATTAATCATAGACTTACCAAAATTAACCAACAAAAATTGAAAAACCAAATAATAGGATTCTTTCTCTCAAAGAATCACATGCAAAAATCACCTTCCATATTTTTAAGCGTGCTTAGCAACACTAGATACAAGACGGAAAGGAAATTTTATGGATGAGGTAGCAAATAAGGTGATAAAATATAAAAAATATATATACATATTCCAAAAATCTAAACAAAAAAGAAACTTTTTCAATGGATATAATTGAAATTCATTGAAAATATATAGATAAGTCAATATACAAAATTTGAGGAAAATTGGAGGTGATTTGGGCTGTTTTTGTATCAAAATTCGTAATTAAATTGAGTTCAAAAAAGTCTTCTGCGACACATGTATCAAACATGTATCACGCATGTATCTCACACACAGGTATACATGGATATACATGTGATACACAATAGATACAAATATGATACATATCATTTTTCCGGGTTTAGTTTTTACCGAATTTTCAATTCAAACCACCTCAAAACTTCACCAAATTATCCCAAAACTGAGATTCAAACTCCTTAAATTGTTCCCAATCTATTCTAATAACACTCACTCAAAACAAAGCAAAAATTTGATATTTTTTGCTACAAATAACTAATTGGCTAATTTGGTTAATATTAGTAATATTTTATCAATTGACCAATTTTTATAATGAGCTACTTATAAATGGACATAGCTGGTAATTTCTCTTTAAAAAATTTATGCATTATCAGTATAAAAAATATTTATGTAGTCACATCTCTTTATAGAGATGAAGAGAAAATAAGATTAAAATGGTAACTGGCATTGGTATCAAAGATTAGAAAAATTTACAGTTAAATCCTTATTTTTTATGCTTTACAAATGGATGGATAAGACACCTTTCTTGTTCATATTTAATTTCCTTCCTTTATGAGGAAGACTTGATGTGGTTTGGGTCAAGTCAAGAGAGGCAGTGGGAAAAGTCTTTGAACAATATTGAAAGTGTCATATCTCACACATATAATTGTACAATCCATAATATAGCTTCCTCAAGTACTCCACACAAAAATAACCTATTCTTATTCTCCTCTTCCTCATCCAATGCACCTTCTATGTAAATGTTAACTATCCAAGAGTTTTTATTGAAATGTCATGAAAAATTATTCAATTCCTATATGGAAATGGAATTTCCATCCCTTCAAATTCAATACCCAAATTTCAATTTCTTCCAAGATCAATCACCGTTACAATGGAATAATGAACTTTTCTTAGATCATGACCATTTGACTAATTATCCATGGGAAATTGACTCTGTCGATGAAAAGGAAGATCGTCAGGTACCAAGAAGTTCTTCATCCTCAGACGTTACGAATTCCTCGAAAATACGCAATCATCATGAAGAAGTTGACTCTTTCGACGAAAAGGATGATCGCCAGATACCAAGAAGTTCTTCATCCTCAGACGTTACGAATTCCTCGAAAGGAAGCAATCATCATGAAGAAGAGGTCACATCACACAATTCCACCCAAAAAAAAGACACAACAAAAGAAGAAAAGCACTATATAGGAGTTAGAAAAAGACCATGGGGAAAATATGCAGCAGAAATAAGGGACTCAACAAGAAATGGAATGAGAGTTTGGTTAGGTACTTTTAATACAGCAGAAGAAGCTGCTTTAGCATATGATCAAGCTGCACTTTCAATGAGAGGTCCATTGGCACTACTCAATTTTCCTATGGATAAAGTAAGAGAATCACTTGAAAATATTAAGTATTTTTGTGAAGATGGATTGTCTCCAGCTGCTGTTTTAAAAGCAACAAATAAAATGAGATGTGTGAAACATAGGAGAAATAGGAAGAAGAGAAAGAAGAAAACTGTTTTGGTTTTTCAAGACTTGGGAGCTGACTTGTTAGATGAGCTTTTGATGAGTTCATCCCAAAAATAACACTTCAAGTTGTTTGTAAAAATTGCTCTTTTTTTTTTCACTTTTTTTGGTGGACCTTTATGTGTATGTATATTTCTGATTTGGTTGTCATTGTGAATCTATATATAATTAAGGTGCACGGGGTCTTATTATCTTGATATTAGCATATTATATTTTTATGGAGTTCAATTTCACTGAATCTATATGGGAGATAGCGGGGCAGTCCTTATACCATTCCAGGAATCCAATGCACTAACTCCTGGAAGCTCAATTATCTGTTAGCCAGGTTTGATTGGGAAATCACTAACTCGATTAAATTGGATTTATACCCCTAGGGCAGTGGCGAAGCTAGGTTGAAGAATTGAATCCCCTTCGTTGAAAAATTATATTGATTTTTTTTCTCATATAGAAACTAAAATTTCATCCATCCCACCATACTTAGTGTTTCTAAGAGTGAACTCTTTCTACGTTTTTGTTAATCAGTTTTCTCTTAACAGTGTTTTAGTTTAGTCGACGGTCATAAAAAAAGAAAAAGAAAAGCCAAGAATAAATATCTTTTTTGACGATTATATTTTCCTTTACCCTATTTCTAAATTGACGTGTTTATTATTCTATATCCAACAACTCTATATTTTTCTGTCTTCCTTTCCAGGTTGCAAAACAGTGATGTGTTTTTTTTCCTTTTGTTATTTTGGTCTCAATGTTCTCACGTTAAAACATGTATTATACGTTATATATACTCTGATTGTGTAAAAAAAATTGTACTTTATATTAGTACAATCTAACAAGAGACCTTCGACTAGTTATTATTTTTATCAGATTACTGGTTAATGTTTAGCATTAAAATTTATCTAATTACCTTATCAAAATATCTAATTTGGTGAATTTTCTACAACTTCAGTATTAAGAATTAATTAAATTCACGATTCAAAGGGTGTAGGATCTCATTTCTCTATTTAGTACTAGCATATGTAAGACATAATTTTTTTAGTTGATTTAGTTCACTGTTCTTTGAGCCGAGGATTTATCGGAAACAGCCTATATATCTTCGTAAGATAGGGGTAATGTCTGCGTATACAGTACACACTACCCTTCTCAGACCCCACTTATGGGATTACAGTGGGATTATTATTGTTGTTGTTGTTGTATATATAAGACATAAAAATTTACTCCCTTCGATCTACTTTAATTGATTTTTTGGCCCTTTTTTATGGTCCACAATATTGGATTTTTTTCAGATATCAAGATAACAAATTAACTTTTTTTTTCAAAGTTTCCCTTGGAATAAAGAGCCTAGAAGTATTTGTTGTATTTACGATGAACAAATTGATAAGGTTAATATGCTCAATTTTTATATTAATTGATGCTAAAACATGGAGTCCTTAGTATATGTGAAAACAGCCAAAAAAATTAAAGTGAACCGGAGAGAGTAACCTTGATTTGAAAACCCTCTCGATCATTTTTTTTTTTTTGGGTACTAATTAAGGACTTTATCTTACATTATTTAGTAATTTATTTATTTATGTTACTTCCATCATCAAGTATCATTATAATTTGTTTGACATTTCAATGGTTGGTCCGCGCGCGGGTCCTAAGGGGGACGCTTGTACGAATTACACTTATAATCTTTATCAACAAGTTGACCTTGATTTTTTTTTTCATTTCTTCATTATAAATTGAGATCTTCTTCGAACTTGATGCTTTTCTTTGATGCACACGACTTTTTCACGGAGTCTGCTTCCACAGTTGCTGCCTGAGGACCTATGTTAATGTTTTGGAAAGGGGATGACTTTGCCAGGTTCTAGGGAGGCTACTCTTCTTTTTTGTCGATCGAGCCGCGTTTTTTCTCGATGTGGACCAAGCTCCGACTTCCTTTTTAGCTTTGGCTCGGAAGAGGTCGGCCTTTGAGACGAGTCAGGGATCCAGAATGACTTCATTGGGAAAACAAAAGTTGAGGGGATTTTCCCCCTATAAAAGAAGGCTTAATGTTTAGGATTGAAACAAACCTCTCATTTGCCTTCTCATATGTTTAAGGCATTTGTATCTTCTCTCTTTAGTATTATTTCACTTGTATTTTTGGAGTGAAATAAAATATTGGTTGTGTCCGAGGAGTAGGCAAAATTAGCCGAACCTCGTAAATTCTGGTGTTCTAGTGTGTGGTATCTGTATTGGAATCCCGATTAAATCAAATTCACACGGCGTAAAACTTATTAAAGAGAAAGTATTCCTTACCAGAGTTTTTATTTTCAAGGTTCGAATCACATACCACTAGTTAAGAATAAAGGAGCGTCATTCATCTCACATAAGTACAGAACTCTTTGTGGGTAAAAACTTATCCGTAGTGGGTATTTGTACTAAACCAATAGGTGTATACCATGTGTTTACAAATAAACTCATATTACTTAATCATATATATTTTCACCTATTAAAATTATTTAACTATGGTAAATTATTATAGTTTGGTGCAAACATCTGGTGCAGGTAAGTATATACTCTTTGTGGTACCTCGAACCATTAATGAGTATCCCACTTTGATACCTATATGAGATTTATAAGGAATAATACAACCAAAATATATACCCAATTTTATTCTATATGTACATAGTTGATCTTTTGTCAAAAAGTATTACCCAGAATCAGCTATTTGTGCACGCTGGCTATAATTCTGATGTTTTATACAATAAGAATGAGTCTTTTGCGATTGCAGTCTTCATCATCTACTTAATTTTAAATGAAAATTATCTTCGGTAAGAAAATATATACTGAAAATTTAAATGAAAAATATCTTTGATTTGTAAAGAAAATATATACTGAAATCTGTAGGGTAGTCGTTCAAGAAAAAATATATGATTTTGTTCAGGCAAAACCGAATTTTGAAAAAAAATAAAATTGGTATGAATATTCTTGCAGTTGACAATTAATTCTCCTTTTAATTTGCAATTTTAAGAGCGATTTTCTGTACTGCCACCGAGGAATTTCATGGCGCTTTAGTTCAATAATACTAAAAGAGCATATTATATTAGTTGAGGTTTGATGTTTATCACAATAATATAAGATTTTTTGCTTTTTTGTTGAAAATTAATAGAAATAAAAAAGACAAAAAATTCACTACTATTAGGGTGATTACTAATTTATTAATGAAACAATTTAAAATCTGACAGTAGGTTGGTAGTTTTTAAAATAGGGAGACAATTAACTACAAGAAACCTCATGCATGTCAAGATAAGGAGAAGTTAATTACACATCTGTTATGAATAGTTTGTACATTGGATGTCCATGTTGTGAATAACTTAAAGATTAAATCTCCTACTTTATGTCCATCATCTTTACTTTTTATGCCTATAAAAGGCTATGTAATTACAATGGAAAGATACACACAATTGAAGAAGAAATATATTCCTTCTCTCTATCTCCATTTCTTGTTCATGTTTTACTAAATTGCTTTTATTTTCTTGATCCATATTGTTACTTTGAGTTATATTTCATAACACGTTATCAGCACGAAGTCTCTAACCTTAAGGTTGAATTCCACTTCTGGTAAGGTATATCTGGATGATCTATTGTCATAATATAAACTTGAGCATCTTGTTCATGAATATAGTATAGTTAAATTTTCGTGAACTAATAATAGGTGGCATGCGTTAGACTACATAATTTACAAAATTATAATTATACTTTATTATGTATGCTTATGGTTTTACCTTATAATACAATTTAGTATGCCTAGTATAGTGATTATACATTAGTTTACTGTCACATATAATTAATATAATAATAATAATAATATTCGTAACTATTTTATTTTGATAAGATAAAATATTAGTATAAGAGGTATGTACTACACCAAATTTTTCATTAATGATAGTTCTTATCAAATTAACATGTTCAATCATTTCTATATGGAAATATATGTCTTTATTTGCTACATCTCTTATCGGACAACGATAATATTCCAAGTAAGTCGCATTTTATCATTTCTACTCCATCTTGTGGTATGAAAATTCGGTACAATATTTTTTTTTAACTAACTTTGGAGCTTAGTTCCATTAGAAACTGTGAAATAATTTATACTTTGGTACGATTCTCATGGCCTTTTAGTTTCACGAACATATATATGTTTGATCGGAATAGTTATTAAACTACTCAATTCTTTCTTTGTTATTGTTTACTGCCTTCATTGAATTGTTCATCTAATTATATGAACTAATGACTTTAAAAGCAAAGTAACATGGTTTTGCTGGTACTTGGCAATAGTGATATCATTATGTTTTATAGCTAGCTAGCCTATTGGAATATGTAAACTGTCTAGCAAAATATTATTACTTTCTTATTAACTTTCTGAAAATTGAATTGTGATATATAATAAAGCAACAATACTAGTTATGTAGCATGTCAAATCACTTAACCAAATTATTACTGGAATTGCTTGATAAAGACCTTAGTGCAATAAGGGTATTCATATTAACCAGTATTGTTCCTACATGTATTTAGTACCTTTTAAGTCATGCGAATTAAGTTATATAATTTAATAATGTATACCATGCACTAACTGGACATACAGTTTAGACATATTTTGGTATTATCTAATTTATGATTTTTGTCAAATTACTATGATATTTTTATATCATATTTATGCACCACTTAATTCATTTTATTCAAATTAGCGGACGTGATATTTGCTTTGGTTTATTGAGATATCGATGTCCAATTTTTAATCAATACCACAATAATTAGTTATTAGTGTAGAATAAATATTTTTATAGTGTTAGTTCATGTGAACTTACAAATATGATATCACTAGAGCACTAATTGGTTTTATGCATGTAATCATTATAAATTGGCATTATTTTTAAAGCTTGGGGTAAGACATGGATTTGAATCTTGATAGAGTTTCAAGTCATTATGGTCAAACATGCCTTTACATGGGTAATACATTGGATTCGAGTCTCAATGCACCATATTGATGGTATAATGATGACTAAAGAAAAATAATATATTTTTCATTAAAGGC